CATTTCTGTGGTTTCAATGTCTTTCTTATCTGTTTTGTTGGGGAACTCACCATTCTTCTTATGCATCTCTCTAGGTTTGTAGTGCGGAGAAGGCAATAGCACCCCACTCCAGTACTCTTGCCTGGAAAATCCCATGGACGGAGGAGTCTGGTAGGCTGCAGTCCATGGGGTCGCTGAGAGTCGGACACGACTGAGCGACTTCACTTTCATTTTTCACTTTCATGCATTGGAGAAGGAAATGGCAACCCTCCAGTTTTCTGCCTGGAGAATCCCAGGGATGGGGGAACCTGGAGGACTGCCGTCTATGGGGTCGCACAGAGTCGGACACGACTGAAGCGACTTAGCAGCAGCAGCAGCAGCAGGTTTGTAGCGATAGTTCCCTACCTTCGCTTGGCTGCACACTGGAATCACCCGGGGGAGCTTTAGCAAACTATTGGCGCATGGGTCTGATACTGATATACTTGGCCAGGGGTCTGAGCATCCGTTTTAAATTTCCCCAGGTGATTCTAGTGGGCAGCCAGGGTTGAGATCCACTCAAGGAGGAGGAAGAGTTCAGCGACCCAGGTAACCCTCCCTTTCTTTCCCTTCTGTGCCCTGCACACCTTTCTCTAATCAAGCCCACCATACTGCACCGTTAATTGCAGGGTGCATACCTATCTCCCTAACTACACTTTGAACATCTGCAGTCAGCCACTTTTGCATTTCTGGAGCTCAATGTCTGGCCTGACACTTCGTCGAGACTTGGAAAATGCTTCACGGGAGGATAAAATGTCATCAACACACTTATTTGTGTCCTCCAAGTGCCAGACACTGCAGCGCTCAGCCAGGATCTAGGGAGTGAGAGATGGAAGTGCGCAGGCGCAAAGCCCTTCCCCTGCCCCCGCACACTGGAGTCTACGCCAAAGGTGAGCCCCGCCCCCAGTCGCGGAGCCAACCAGAGGGCGCGAGGCAGGACCAGCCTCCCCGGGCGTCAGAGAAAATCGCTGCGGTGTTCCAGCCGGGGCAGAGGCAGTTTTCTCGATGAGCTCCTGCTCGATTGGCCGACCTTCCACGGTGGGGTAACGGTCGCAGAGGCGGGGCCGTAGGCAGCGGAGCCGGCAGGGTTGAGCGCGCTGCGGGAGGTAGGCGGCGGCTGAGGAAGGTGAGCGGAGTTCTAAGTTTACGGAGGCGTCGGCCGGAGCCCCCGCCTGAGGAACCCCGGGAACTGACCTCACCTGCGCCCTGAGAGCGGTCAGACGAGCCGCCTCGGGACTGGTTCGCGCCAATTAAAATGCCAGTATAAAGGCCGAGGGGAGGCGGGTAACCTGATGATAAACCTGGTTCGAGTCTGGCTTCCCGCCGTTTGTGGTCTTTGACTCCCCTTGTGACAACTCAGCGCCTCAGTTTATTTATTTGTGGAACACAGCTGATAATTCTTGCCTTACATGGTGATTGAGAAGATTAAATGAGGCGATGAGTGTGAAGCTTGGAGTGATTTTCGGCGCGCCCTGGATTCTGGATAAGTAGGTAGTTACTCCATCCCCAACAGTTCGCCAGAACCGACCCGCTCCACTTTTCAGTGTCAAGGTGTCTGAGGAGGTGGCTTGGCTAGTGAAAACTAAGAATAGAAGGTGGGGGATACGTGAAGGTGTAGGTAGATGATCATCTCTTTCTTCGTTTTATTAGGCCCATTTCAGAGTACGGGGCTCTTTATGCAGAGTCTAATTTGATTTTTATTCTGATCAATGAGTTGGAAATAATTGCAAGGCTGAGAGACTTGTTACACACAGGCCAAACAGAAGTGTTTTTGTACCACTTTATTTTCTAACCATAAGGTTAAACACTGTGCACGCATTATCCATGTTGGTTTCAATCCTCTGTATGAGGTTTTTGTTTTGTTTTTCACTTTTGCTATTGCCAAATAGACTTGAGCCTTGCTTACCCCACCTTGGGGAGGAGGTGGCTGACAAGCGAATGCCGCAGCTTTTGCTTAGAGGTGTGTTCTGACCGTTTATGTAACCTCTCCTGGGGCAGAATGATTTGGTCTAGAGATCCAGCCCTAATTTAGATTACTTATTTGCGGTAAATTCAGTTCTTCTTAGGAACGTTAAATAGAGACTTTGAAAGCATTTCATGTTCCATTTATTGCAGTAAAGCGAAATATGTACTTTTGAGAAAGCTTATTACAGATTTTGATGTGACTTGAGAAAGAACAGCTACCGACTATGCATTATTTCCACTTTCCCGCCCAAAAGTAGTGAAAAATAAATACATTTTGATGTATGGTGTATGTTATAGGGGCTTCAGACTTATAAAGTGCAAGTTACCAAAGGATTTTTGGTAGACCTGGACAGTGCAAGGAGATAGAATTTTGTTTTGCTTCTCTGCATGTGTCTTTTTGTGCCGTGTATAAATGAACTCCTTCCCTGCAACTGCTATTTCTACAGTCTTACTTTAGGTGTGATATGATACTGATTAAAGCAAGCTTTGGCTTTGGGGAAGCATTGGGTCTCTTCTTCTGACGCAAAGTTCCAGACCTGTGTCTTGTTACAGTTTGTAGTGGGGAGAAGACTGCTGCAAACCATTGGCACATTAATTTCACAGCATGGGCCCCTGAAAAGGAGGTCTTGGTCACAGGTGAAATTGTGACAGCTGTTCTCCCTGCCTTTGTTTTTTTTATTCAGTGGTTGTTATCTGTCTGAGAGTACTCCTGACAATAAGAATTATTCTGCCTTTGAAACCAGAATCAGAATTGATGCTAGACAGTGATAGAGTTGGACACCCAGCTAAATGTTTTAGCACAGCTGGGAGAGGAAAGGTAAGTGGAAAGAAGACACCAGTGAAGGTACTTGGTGGTGACCATCAACGTCCATTAGCAGTTAATTCTGTGATTCCAGCTTCTGTTTAGTGGTTACCACCAGTACCATAGATGCCTGCTCTGGGAATAACACAAGACCTTTCTTACTAGGAGATGAGCATTTTAAGATTTGGATCTCTTATCTTTTTGAAACCTAGATGAAGATCCAGTTTCAGACGTGAGACTCACTGAGTGATCATTTCATTGAGATCAACTTGAATGACAAGGTGAAAAGTGCAAGAGGAATGTGGTATGACTGAGGTATGTCTGATGTGGTAGATAACTCTCTCTAGGAATTGAGAGACCATGGAAAGAATCTACTAATTATGGGATACTGTACATATATTTCCTTTTGACCTCCTCATATTTCCTTTTGACCTCCTCATAATCCTATCAGGTATTTGAAGCTCCATAAAGGAAACTGAAGCCCAGAGAGGCTAAGTATTTAAGATAACACAGATAGCTGGTCACCAATTATAATCACCACCTCTATCCTGCTATGTGCCAGGCACTGTTCAATTAGTCCTTTCTATTTTAACTTTTCTAATCTTCCCAAGAACCTATGAGCTAAGTACTTTTATTTTCCTCATTTCATGATAAGGAAATTGAGGCACAGAGATTAGTGGTTTCTTGGTTGTGTGGCAGAAGCACGCTATTCTGGCTCTACCAGCCTTCTTTTGGTTAGTATTTCCTTTACTTTTGGCTTTATTGTTACTTAATGAATTTTTTTTAATTAAATAGTGAACTTTTATTATGAAATCAAACTGAAATGAACACACATACTGAATGTATACCTTAACATTAAGAGATGATACCACCTAGGTCAGGGTAGAGAACCATGCCAGCCATGCTGAGACTGGTCTATCCCAATTACAACTACTTCTGTACTCCCATTAGTGCATTCTTCTGACTTTTACAGTAATTTCCTCCTTGTGTTAAAAAAAAAAAAGTTTTTTCCTAAATCTGTATTCTTCAGCATTATAGTGTACCTCTTGCTCATTATATTAAAAAAAAATCTCTTAATCTGTAGGTTTTTTCCCTATTCCTTTCTTTTCCTTATAATCTATCTGAAGAACTTGCCTCATTTGACCTATATATCCTACAGTCTGGATTTTGCAGTTTGCATACTCATGTGCAGTTGATTAGGTTCCTCTGCCCTGGGTAATTCTTAAACATTTGTAGCTGGATCAAAGATTGGATCAGACTCAGATTCAATTCCTTTGGTAATTCTCTAGGTGGTGGTTGGCAGGGTCATAGGAGGTGCAGAATGTCTTGTTTCTCTTTGTGTTTCCAGCACCTGTTGATACTTGATGCCTGTATATGTTCATTGAAGGCTGCAAAATAGTGATATTCTATCATTTCTTTTACTTGCTTGTTAGAATATTAGCCCCTCAGTTGAATATGTAGCCATAAAATCTCTTTAGGAGAGGCAGCATAAACAATTTGTTGCATTTATTTACCAATTTTTGAGGAAATGAATTGGTTCCTTATCTTCTGAAGATAATTCTTTTAAAAAACCTAATATCAATATGAAGTCATAAATTTAAACATTTTATGGGTTTCAGTTCATTGTAGTTATTATAATTGTCAAAGCTAATGTGCTCACATCTTTGAGTGACAGGAGCCTACTCAAATCTATTCCTTTTAATATGACCCTACTAGTCTTTTTTTTCTTTGGCTATTTCCTGACCAGGGATTGAACCTGTGCCCCCAGCATTGGAAACAGAGTCTTAACCACTGGACCATCAGGGAAGTCCAGCACTACTAATCTTTAATAACTCCCTTGTTGTCTGATATCTTGAATCAATTCTGTCCCAAATCTGAAATAATATCTTCAAAAAACTTTTTTTTTTTTTCCGAAAGGAAATAGCATTTCAAGATCATAATCTGTATTCTCGGGATCCTGAGTCAATCATGGTTTTAGTCTTTTCTGTAGACAGGTAGATATAACTATCCTAGCTCTGTCTCTGGAAACACACACAGAGCCCTTCATTTGTAAAACTGAAATTCTATACCCATTAAATAACTCACCATTCCCCTGGCAATCACCATTCTACTTTCTGTATAAGTGGGATCATACAGCATTTGTTTGTGACTAGCTAATATACTTAAGGTTCATCCGTGTTGTAACTTAGGTAAACATTTCCTTCCTGTTTAAGGCTGAATGGGCTTCCCTCATGACTCAGACAGTAAAGAATCCACCTGCAATGCAAGAGACCAAGGTTTGATCCCTGGGTCAGGAAGACACCCTGGAGAAGGAAATGGCTACTTACTTCAGTATTCTTGTCTGGAGAATTCCATGGACAGAGGAGCCTGGTGGGCTGCAGTCCATCGGGTCACAAAGAGTTGAACACCACTGAGCTGCATACACTACACTACTACTTAAGGCTGAATAATATTCCACTGTATGGTTTATAGCATATTTTACTTATCTATTCATCTGCTGATGGAACTTGGGTTGCTTCCACCTTTTAGCTATATTTTGTGAATAATACTGCTGTGAACATGGATGTTCAAATATCTTTTTAAGATCTTTCAGTTCTTTTGTCGAATTGCTGAGTCATAATGGCATTTCTACATTAAATTTTTTGAAGAACCACCATGCTATTTTTCATAGCAGCTATACCATTTTATATTCCTGACAGTGCACAAGGGTTTCAGTTTCTCTACATCCTCATGATTAACTGTTATTTCTGTTTCTTTTAGCCATCCTAATGGGTATGAGGTGGTATCTCATTGTAGTTTTGATTTGCATTTACCTAATGGGTAATGTTGAAATATTTTCATGTGTTTATAGCCTTTTAAATTTTTCTTTAGAGAAATGTCTGTTCAGGTTCCTTGCCCATTTTTTAATCAGATGTTTTTGTTAAGTTTCTGGAATTCTCTGTATATTCTGGATTGTTTATTGTTATTTAGTTGCTAATTGTGTCTGACTCTTGCAACCCCATGGACTGTAGCCCACCAGGCTCCTCTGTCCATGGGATTTCCTAGGAAAGAATACTGTAGTAGGTTGCCATTTCCTTCTCCAGGGGATCTTCCCCACTCCGGGATCAAACCTGTGTCCCTTGTGTCTCCTAAATCGGCAGGGAAATTCTTTACCACTGAGCCACCATGGAAGCCACATATATTCTGGATATTCCTTATCACATAAATGATTAGTAAATATTTTCTCCCTTTCCATGGATTGCCTTTTTAATCTGTTGACAGTATCTTTTGATGCACAAAAAAAATGTTAAATTTTTGTCAAGTCCAGTTTTTGTTTTTACTTTTTGTTGCCTATGCCTTTGATGTCATATCTAAGAAACCATTGCCAAATTCAGGATTGTGAAGCTTTTACCCTGTGTTTTCTTTTAAATTTTTACAGTTTAAGCTCTTAAATTTAGGTCTTTGATCCATTTGAGTTAATTTTTGTGTGGTCTTAAGAAGGGTACAACTTCATTCTTTTTACAGTTTTCACAGCAGAGGAAGAGACTGACTATATCCTTTTGAGGGCTTTTTGGCACTCTTATTGAAAACCGTTTGACAGTCAGTTCAGTTGCTCAGTCGTATCCAACTCTTAGTGACCCCATGGACTGTAGCACGCCAGGCTTCCCTGTCCATCACCAACTCCTGGAGTTTACTCAGACTCATGTCCATCAAGTCAGTGATGTCATCCAACCATCTTGTCCTCTGTCGTCCCCTTCTCCTCCTGCCTTCAATCTTTCCCAGCATCAGGATCTTTTCCAGTGAGTCAGTTATTCCCATCAGATGGCCAAAGTATTGGAGTTTCAGCTTCAGCATCAGTCCTTCCAATGAATATTCAGGGTTCATTTCCTTTAGGATTGACTGGTTGGATCTCCTTGCAGTCCGAGGAGCTCTAAAGAGACTTCTCCAACACCAAAGTTCAAAAGCATCCTCGGCGCTCACATTTGACAATAAATGTGGGGGATTATATCTGGGCTGTTTATTTTATGCAATTGTCTATGCCAACACCACTCTTGATTTATGTTGCTTTGCAAAGGAGTTTTAAATCAGGAAGCTGTTACTACTTCAGCTTCATGCTGTTACTCCTCCAGCTTCGTTCTTCTTTTTCAAGATTACATTCAGGTGATGACATTCAAGCTATTCATGATCCCTTGAGATCCTGTATGTATTTTAGGATGGATTTTCTGTTTCTGAAAAAAATGTCATTGGGATTTTGATGGGGATTACATTGAATCTGTAGATTGCTTTGGTCAGTATCAATGTCTTATTATTAAGTCTTATGATCCATGAATATTGGATGTGATCCCATTTACTTATGTCTTTTTAATTTTTTTGAGCAATGTTTTGTAGTTTTCATTGTATAAGACTTTCACCTCCTTGGTTAAGTTTACTCCTATTTTTATTCTTTGATGCTGTTGTATTTTTGTTTGTTTGTTTTCATTTATTTTTATTAGTTGGAGGCTAATTACTTGACAATATTGTAGTGGTTTTTGCCGTACATGACATGAATCAGCCATGGATTTACATGTATTCCCCATTCTTTGATGCTGTTGTAAATGGAATTCTTTTATTTTCCATTTTAGGTTTTTTTGTTGTTAGTGTATAGAAATGTAAATGGTTTTTATATGCTGATTTTCATATCCTGCTGCTTTGCTGAATTCATTTATTCTAGTGTGTGTGTGTATTTAAGGATTTTGGCATATAAAATCATATCATGTGCAAATAGAGATAATTTGACTTCTTTTCCAATTTGGATACCTTTTATTTCTCTTTCTTACTTAAATGCTTGGTGAGAACTTCCATTTCTATATGGAATAAAAGTGGTGAATGTGACATCCTTGCCTTGTTCCTCATCTTAGAGGGAAAACTTGTAGTCTTTTACCATTGAATATGATGTTTGCTGTAGCTTTTTCATATATGGCTTTTGCTGAGTTGTGTGCGTGCTAGTTTGCTTCAATCATGTTCTACACTTTAAGACCCCAGGATCCTCTGTCCATGGGATTCTCCAGGCAAGAATACTGGAGTGGGTTGCCATTTCCTCCTCCAGGGGATCTTTTGTTGAGTTAGTTTCCTTCTATTCCTAGCTGTTAAGTGTTTATCACAAGAAGATGTTGAATTTTGTAAAATGCTTTTTCTGCATCAATTGAGATGATTGTATGTTTTTTTCCTTCATTCCATTAATGTAGTGTAACATGTAATACACTGATTTCTTTTCATATGTTGAACTAATTCCTCCATTCCAAGTATAAATCCATCCTTTTAATATGCTGCTGAATTTGGTTTACTAGTGTGTGCATGCTCAGTTGCTTAAATCGTGTCCAACCCTTGCAATCTCATGGACTATAGCCCTCCAGGCTCCTCTGTTCATGGCATTTTTCCAGGCAAGAATACTTGCAATGGGTTGCCATTTCCTCCTCCAGGGAATCTTCCCAACCCATGGTTCAAATCCTTGTCTCCTGTGCCTCCTGCATTGGCACTAAGATTCTTTACCACTAAGCCACCTGGAAAGCCTTCGGTTTACTAGTATTTTGCGTCAATGCTTGTAAGGGATATTACTATTTTTCTTGTATTGTCTGACTTTTTAATATTAAGGTGATGCTATCCTCCAAAAATGAGTTAGAAAGTATTCCCTTGTCTAATTTTTGAGAAGAATTGTCAGTAGTTCTTTAGATGTTTTGGTAGAATTCCTCAGTGAAGCCACTTTATCCACGGCTTTTCTTTTGGGGAGAGTTTTTTGATTACTGATTCAGTCTTATTACTAGTTACAGATGTATTACGATTTACTATTTCTCTGTGATTCAGTCTTGGTAGGTTTTGTGTTTATAGAAATTTGTCCATTTCATGTCGATTATCTAATTTGTTGGCATACAATTGTTCATAATATTGTTTAAATACTTTTTTCTGTATAATTGGTAGTAATGTTCCCACTTTGATTTCTGATTTTAGTAATTTGAGTCTTCTCATTTTTTCCTGTTTATCAGGTAAAATTTGTCATTTTTGTTGATCTTTTCAGATGTCTTCCATTGACTTTCTCTATTACTTTCCTAGTCTCTATTTCCTTTGTTTCTGCTCTAATTAATCTTTCTTTTTTTTCTTTTGCTAGCTTTGGGTTTAGTTTGTTCTTTTTCTAGTTCCATAAGTTGCAAACTTAGGTTGTTAATTTGAGATCTTTCATGTTTTTAATGTAGCTCTTAAATTTCCCCCTTAGGATTGCTTTCACTGTGTCCCATAAGTTTTGAAATATTGTGTTTTGTTTTCATTAATATCTTAAGAGTTTTCTAATTTCTCTTGTGATTTCTTCTTTCATCCATTGGTTATTTACAAATGTGTTGTCTACTTTCCATAAGGTTAGGAATTTTTGTTTTAGTTTTTGATTTCTAAGGTCACCTCTTTGTGGAGACTTAATTTGTGGTTTAACATATAGTCTATCCTGATAATGTCCCATATGCACTTGGAAGACTGTATTCTGTTGTTGTTGAGCAGTGTTCTTTTCTTTTCTTTTTTTCTTTTTGATCAGCTTGTGGGATCTTAGTTCCCTGACCAAGGGTCAAACCCGTGCTGCCTGCAGTGGAAGCATGGAGTCCTAAACCACTGGATTACCAGGGAATTCCCCAGAGTGTTCTTTATAAATCTACTAGATCTGGTTGTTTTACTCTGTCACGTTGTCTGTTTCATTACTTTTCTTCTGTCTGTATTCTTGAGGATGGGGTGTTAAAATCTCCAACTATATTGTAGAACTATTTCTTCCTTCAATTCTGTCAGTTTTTACTTCACGTGTTTTAGTGGTCTGTTGTTAAGTGCATAAGAGTTTATAATTGTTATGTATTCTAGCTGTATTGAATCTTTTATTAATATGTAATGTCCTTTTTTGTCTCTAGGAGCCTTTTTTGATTTAAAGTCTATTTTCTCTGATACTAATATAGCTACACTTTCTTTTCTTTTAAATTATTTTCATGAAATACCTTTTACCATTCTTTCACTTTCAATATATTTGTGTCTCTGGCTCTAAAATGGGTCTTGTTTTAGGCACATAGTTGGATCATATTTTCTTGAATTCATTCTACCAGTTTGTCAAGAGTTTGACTCTTTTACATTTAGAGTGATTACCGACAGGGCATTACTGTCTGTAATTTTGCTATTTTTTTGTAACATCTTATTGCTTCCCCCCCTCATTTCCTGTATTACTGTCGTCTTGTGTTTAGCTGATTTTTTTTTTTTGCGGGGTAGCAGAATGTTTTCTTTTTCTATATATTCTATCACTGTTTTCTTTGTGGTTACTGTGAGGATTACATTTAGCATTATAAAATTATAACTAATTTGAATTTATCGCAGCTTCACTTAAATAACGTATGAAAATTCTGCTTCTTTACAGCTCAACCTCTTTCAGCTGTTGATGTTTCTCAGTTACATCTTTATACATGTGTGCCTGAAAACAAATTAAGAATTCTAGTAAATGAGTTAGTCTCTTAAATTAGGTAGAAAATATGTGACATTACAAACCAAAAGTTATAATAATATTAGCTTTAGACTAATGATTGTTTTGTAAAAAACGATCTGTTTCTTAAGTCATGTAGAAAGCAAAAAAGTGGAGTTACACATCTTTGTTATGATAGTAGCAGCTTTTATAGTTGCCCGTGTGTTTCCCATGCCATTCACCTTTATTGAGATACTTGGCCTTCCATGTGGCTTTGCTTTACTGTCTGTGTCCGTTCACTTCAGCCAGGGGGACTCCCTTTACCATTACTTGCAGGGCAGGTCTAGCGGTAGGGAACTCCTTAAACTTTTGCTTATCTGGAAATATCTTCCTTTTGTTCTCACTGTTGAAGGATAGTTTTGCCAAACATAGGATTCTTGACTGACAGTTTCTTTCTTTCAGAAAGAAATATATCCTCTCACTACCTCCTGGTATCCAAAGTTCCTGTCAAGAAACCTGCTGGTAATCTTGCTGATGATTCCTTGTGTGTGATGTGTCACTTCTCCCTTGCTGCTTTCAAGATTCTTTGTTCTTTCAAAAGCTTGATTATAGTACTTTTTGGTGTAGGTCTCTGAGTTTATATTTCTAGGAGTTTGTGTCTTTCAATAAATTTGGGAAGTTTTCAGCCATCATTTCATAATCTCCCTGCCACCCTGTCTTTTCTCCTGGGACTCCCACAATTCGTGTGTTAACACTACTGGTGGTGTCTCACAGGTCCTTTAGGTAAGGTTCACTTTTATTCAGTCTTTTTTTTTTTCCTATTCTTTAGACTTGATAATTTCCATTGTCTTACCTTCACACTTACAGGGATTTACCCTTTTGCCTGCTCAAATCTGCATTTGAATGCCCCTAGTAAATTTTTTATTTCAGTTATCACACTTTTCAACTCCAGAATATTTTTTATTTATTTTTGTTTGTTTGTTTTCTGTCTCTTTACTGATATTTCTCTTTTGATCATATATTTTTTCTTATTTTTTTCTCCACATCTTCCTTTAGTTCTTTGAATTTTTTAAGGTGGTTGTTTTAAATGCTTTGTGTAGTAGATCTGCCATCAGGTTTTGTTTTGTTTTCAGGGACAGTTTTTTTATTTTATTTTATTTTTCCTTTGAATGAGCCATGCTTTCCAGATTCTTTGTATGCTTTACTTTTTATTGAAAACTGGAGATTTGAATCTAGTAATATCTATGGAAATAAGATTCTCTTTCTTTGCCATGGTTTGCTGGGTTTTGTTTTTCTTTGTTTTAAATTGTGGCTGTCTTTGTGCTGAGGATCAGCCTGACCTATAAACTTGAGGTGTTTTTAATCCTACACCTTTCTCTGGGTACATGCAGTGGCTTTCTAATTCCCCATATATGCATTTAGAAGTGCTCTATGTGAACCTTGTTTGAATTCTGATTTGGAAAAAAAACCAACAAGATTTTTTAAGACATTTGGGGGAAAATTGAACATGGACTAGATACTAAGTGATAGTAAGGAATTAATATAATTGGGTGTGACACTGGTATTGAAGTTATGTTTAAAATGAGTCTGTATTTATTGGAGGTGAGTACTAAAATACAAGTGGGTAAGAGAAATGAAATAAATATGGAGAATGTTGGTTATTATTGATCTTGTGTTAATGAATATACATGGGTTCATTTTACTCTTTCTCTACTTGCATGTAGTTTTAAAATTTTCTGTAATGAAAAGTTTAAAAACTAGCTGAAAGGTGGTAGCCATTGAAGTTGGCTGATACTTTCAAAAAGTATTTTGAAAAAAGAGATGAACATAGTGCATTAGAGACCAGAGTTTAATGGGGAGAGAGTACTCTATGATGTCAGCATCAAAAATGGCAGAATTGGAGAATTTGCAACATGTTCCTAGATTTAGCTGAAAATGAATTATTGGTAACTAGTATTGGAGGGTTTCACTATCTGAAGTAGAAGCAGAAAGACAGAAGGGTGATTTGCAAGAAAAACTGAACTAGCAGCAGGGAGGATCATTTTACTTCTCTGGGTCTCACATGGTTATAGCATCTGATATATTAGTACAATTCTCCCAGCACTTTCCTGCCAGCTCTGGACAGCTAGAGATGTTGGATTAAACACTTTCCAAGGTTCTCTCACGTTGCGAGATTCCATGATGCTAATGAATATGTGTGTATGATTGTGCCTCTGCAAAGGAAGAGTTAGATACCATAAGAATTCAAGGAAATTTTTTCCTATAGAATGGCAAACTCTTAGACAACACGAGCATGTGATGGGAGGGTAGACTGAATATAAACTTGTGTGTGTGCCAGTCAAATAGAATACGTTGTGTTGCTAGCCTTTGATCTACTTAGAAATAAAGACCACCTAAGAATGTGACATTTAATTTACTCTTTGAGTTAGGCTAGTGAATTAATTGTTAAACTAATGAATTCAGACAATTCTTTCAGTTTTTTGGGAAGCAGCTTCCAAGAAATGTTTATTAGCATCACTTGCTTTTCACATTACCTAGTTAAAACAAATAGTTTTCTTTGTGTTTATGTGTGTGAAATCCCATAATGTTTCATTTTAGAGGAGAACGTTATAAAATTCTAAAAATTAGTTTTCTTAGAAGTCATAGAAGTTTTGGCATAGGAATGCTTAAATTGCCCAAGAGTAGTAGGTTCTTTTAAATATAATTTTCTTTAATACCTATTGCACTTTTTTTGAATTTAGGCAATTCAATTTTTTATTGCCAATCTCAACTTCTTTTGACTCTACAAAAGAAATTGTATCTACAGCAGCCCCTAAAGCCAAGGAGTCCAGCAAATCATCAGATAAGACTCATGACTGAAAAACAGGTAAACTTGAAATATTTGAAACCAGTATTTATCAAAGTATGTGTCAAAGAATTCCACATGGACAAATGTGAAAAATCTTACTTTAAGTAAAGTAAATGATTTACTACTTTAGTAAAATCATTTTGGGACATGAGGGGTTAAAACTGTTAAATGGTATCCATATTCTAAGACCTCACAACATATCAGTCTCCAGAAAGAGACTTTATTATACAATTTTTCCTACTTATGTAATACTAACTTGATGACTGTTTCATTAGACTGGTCTTCAGTTTATACTTGGAAAATGCAGTTCTCAACTATTTTGGAATTTGCAAATAGTTATGTTTTTCTTCAAACATAATTTAACTCAGATGACCATTATATCTACTACTGTGGGCAAGAATCCCTTAGAAGAAATGGAGTAGCCATCATAGTCAACAAAAGAGCCCCAAATGCAGTACTTGGATGCAATCTCAAAAACGACAGAATGATCTCTGTTCGTTTCCAAGGCAAACCATTCAGTATCACAGTAATCCAAGTCTATTCCCCGACCAGTAATGCTGAAGAAGCTGAAGTTGAATGGTTCTATCTATGAAGACCTACAAGACCTTCTAGAACTAACACCCAAAAAAGATGTCCTTTTCATTATAGGGGACTGGAATGCACAAGTAGGAAATCTAGAAATACTTGGAGTAACAGGCAAGTTTGGCCTTGGCATACAGAATGAAGCAGGGCAAAGGCTAACAGTTTTTCCAAGAGACCGCACTAGTCATAGCAAACACCCTCTTCCAGCAACACAGGAGAAGACTCTGCAAGTGGACATCATCAGATGGTCAGTACCAAAATCAGATTGATTATATTCTTTGCAGCCAAAAATGGTGAAGCTCTATACAGTCAGCAAAAACAAGACCGGGAGCTGACTGTGGCTCAGATCGTTAATTCCTTATTGCCAAATTCAGACTTAAATTGAAGAGAGCAGGGAAAACCACTAGACCATTCAGGTATGACCTAAATCATACCCCTTATGATTATACAATAGAAGTGACAAGTAGGCTCAAAGGATTAGGTCTGATAGATTGCCTGAAGAACTATGGACAGAGGTTCATAACATTGTACAGGAGGCAGTGATCAAGACCATCCCCAAGAAAAAGAAACGCAAAAAGGCATAATGGTTGTCAGAGGAGGCCTTACTGTGAAGGCTGTGAAAAGAAGAGAAGCGAAAGGCAAAGGAGAAAAGGAAAGATACACCCATTTGAATGCAGAGTTCCAAAGCAAGGGAACATTTCACACAAAGATGGGCACCGTAAAGGGCAGAATAGTATGGATTTAACAGAAGCAGAAGATATTAAGAAGAGGTGGCAAGAATCCACAGAAGAACAATACAAAAAAGGTCTTCACTACCCAGATAAGCATGATGGTGTGATCATTCATCTAGAGCCAGACATCCTGGAATATGAAGTCAAGGGGACCTTAGGAAGCATCACTACAAACAAAGCTAGTGGAAGTGATGAAATTCCAGTTGAGCTATTTCAAATCCTACAAGATGATGCTGTGAAAGTGCTGCACTCGATATGCCAGCAATTTGGAAAACTCAGGAGTGGCCACAGGACTGGAAAAGGTCATTTTTCATTCCAGTCCCAAAAGCAATGCCAAAGAATGTTCAAATTACCACACAATTGCACTCATCTCACACGTTAGCTAGCAAGGTAATGCTCAAAATTCTCCAAGCCAGACTTCTATCCACTCCAGTACTCTTGCCTGGAGAAGGTCATGGACGGAAGAGCCTGGTAGGCTGCAGTCCATGAGGTCGCTAAGAGTTAGACACAACTGAGTGACTTCACTTTGACTTTTCACTTTCATGCATTGGAGAAGGAAATGGCAACCCACTCCAGTGTTCTTGCCTGGAGAATCCCAGGGACAGAGGAGCCTGTTGGGCTGCCCTCTATGGGCTTGCACAGAGTCGGACACGGCTGATGCGACTTAGCAGCAGCAGCAGCAGGACTTCCATGGGAGTCCATGGTTGAGACTGCCTCCCAGTGCATAGGGTGTGGGTTCAATCTCTAATTGGGGACCTAAGATCCTACATGCCTCTTGGCCAAGAAACCAAAGCATAAAACAGAAGCAATATTGTAACAAATTGAATAAAGACTTTAAAATGGTCCATATAAAAAAAAATCTTTAAAAAGTTGTCAGGGAACAGTATTTGTATAATTTGGTCATTCAAAATGTCACTTTTTTTATAGAGCTTTTTTTTTTTAAATGAGTCATAGTAGGTTTCCACTTATATACCCACACAGTGCTTTTGGCTCCCAAAACAGATACTAGCAACAGTTTTAGTTCTGTTTCTTTAATCTTTGTGACCAGAAGACAAAAATAAGGGGAAAAAATTGTCAGGGTGGGGAGAGTTACAGAAAGGATAAAGAAACAGAATAAAGTCAGCAGTCAAAAGGAAAGATTTGTTTGCTACTGTGAGCCATAATCCTATCAAAGAGTTATCAGAACAATTTGGTTTTGTCTTGATAAATTGATATATCTCAATTTAAAATTGAGGTATAGTTGATTTACAGTATTAACTTCAGGTGTGTAACATAGTGATCAGTAGTTTTACAGATTTTACTCCATTAAAAGTTATTACAAGATAATGGTTATAATACTCTGGCTATACAGTGTATCCTTGTTGCTTATCTATTTTGGTAGATTTTTTAATGTCTGAGGGGTATTTGGATGTGAGTGTGATAGTTGCTCAGTCATGCCTGACTCTTTGCAACCCCATGGACTGCAAAGTAGCCTGCAAGGCTCTTCTGTCTGGAATTCTCCAGGCAAGATTACTGGAGTGGGTTGCCTTTCCTTCTCTGTTGGATGTGAAGAGTAATACTTTCATTTGAACTTTAAAAAATTTTCTAGGAGAGAGGGAGGGGAAAAATTCTCCAAATTATTAATATTAACATTATTATAATATTTACATGCTATTTACTAATAAAATATATTAGACACTTTTCAAGCATTTAAATAAATTGAAAATTTACTCAAATCACCTTTTTACAAATATACGTAAGTTATACTATATAAGATACGTAAGGGCTTTTAAAAAGAATGCAGAGTGTCTCACACACTTGATTTCAAGATTGATCATTGTACTTAAGAACCTATTATTGATGTTAATATCGTGAATTTAAATGTCATTTAAAAAATATCTGTGTCTGTTCTTACTATATTTTATGTTCTTTTCTTCCCCATTGTTAAATTTTTATTTATTGTTAGGTTTTATTCTTTTTTTAATCTGGAGAGAGTTCCCTTTTCAGTTACGTGGGGTAAACACATATTTAGAATCAGGGATACAAAACTTAGGAATGTCTTTCAGAGTATTTCTACTAGAATCAGTTACCTAGATGGATAGACTCCTTTTCATAGTTAGACCTTGTCCATTATACAAGGAACTACCTAAGTTATTGACTCTTCCAGTCAGATATGTTTGATTTTGTTGTGACCCTGGTCATTGTTAAGGTGACAGTTAAATAAAAAACCTCAAATAAAAAGTTCAGTTAAATAAGAAACTTAAGGCCTGTTTAATTCACTGAAATTATAAGGCTTTTAATTTATTCATTAAGACCTATATATGTGTTCTGGAATTATGTAATTCCATATATAATATAACTATCTATGCTTATTTGCATCCTTTTTAGTCTAATTTTGTTAGAAACAAATCTGTTTTAATTTTAATCATTGTGTGTATAAAAATTCATATTAAAGCTTTTGGAGAAAAAGTCTATTGTTCTGAAAACAAAGGAAATTATTTATAAGAGGGCATTTCTTCCCCCTATATCTTAACATTGATCCTTTTCTGTCTCCTTGTAATTGTAGCGGGAAGAAGCAGAATGGGAAAACATAAATGTGCTGTTGATGATGCATGGCTTAAAGCCTTTATCTCTAGTCAAAAGAACAGATATGAAAGGTAATCAAATTATATTCTTGCTCCTTAAGATAAAAAGCTTCTTTTTTTGTTAAAATTTTTCAATCTTAATTTTTTCTTATCTTCATTTTTACTATGTGTATTACATTTCAAAAAATGTAGATCTCATCATTTTTGACAAACAGTCATCACAAACGATGAGGGAGAATTTAAAAACAATGATGGAGGAAACATCACGTCAACAGAACATGATCCAGGAGCTCATAGAAACTAATAAACAGCTTAAGTAAGAGAATGGAAAAAAAATCTGTTTTGAATTGTATGTGAACAAATGATATGCATTTTAAAAATAACTTGCTTGAATCTTGAAATTTAATTTTCCATTGATTAAATATTAAGTAAAAAATATTTTCAGTAGGTAAATCTTTTGGTAATAGCTTCGATATATAATGATACCCTATGTTTCCTCTGTTGGTTTGTGTTATAGAAACTTTAAGAATGCAAAATTTTACAAAGTCATTATGTTGTTAGATGGATATGTTGGTTGATATGATTTGTTTCTATTACTAAGAGAAGGAATTGTATGTCTGTTACTAGAAATGAACTTCAGCAACAACAAAGCCGAGCAGCAGATCAGGAACAACGAGCTAATGACTTGGAACAAATTATGGAGAGTGTGAAGTCCAAAATTGGTGAAATGGAGGATGAATCTGTAAATAGGGTTTACCAGCAACAGAATAAAATAAAAGAACTTCAAAAGGAGCATAAAGCTTTACAGGTACTGAGTTAAACATTTTCTTACATGATAGTCTTAAAACACCTTGTCAATGTTAAAGGTGACTTCCATGTTGCTTAGTTCAGTGATCGTTATCTTCCTTTACCTATTATTGTTATTGACTTGAAATTCTTTCTTTGCTATTTCCAGAATATCTTCTTTTCTGGTTTTCCTCTAACCCCAATGGTTATTTTTTGATCCCGTTGCTGATTCTTCGCATTTTCCTCAGACTCATCCCTTAGACTTTTTTTTTTCCTATAAATTCTAACTTCCTTGGTGATGCTCAGTCTAATTCATAGTACTTTTAAACCTGTGGCACAGGCTTCTTCCCTTAATTCCAGACTCACATCCTGCATCCTACTTGATACCTCTATTGGATGTCTAATTAGGCATCTAGAACTTTTTACCACGTCTAAAACCGTACCTGGATTTCCTCCCCAAACTTTCATCTTTTAATATCCACTCTGGTCCAAGTCATTTTCATTTCTTTCCTGTTTCTTTCTTGGTTTCCCTACTCCAGGCCTTGCCTTTTTCAATGTGCTCTCAACACTGTAGCACAGAACACTCTGACTTTGCTTTTTCTTTTTCTTAAAGGGAAAAATCCAAAACTCTTAACCATGATCTTACATGGTTGTCCCCGTGTTACCTTCTGACTTCACTTACTGTACCTCTTGCATATTCTATTCCAGTCACACTGACATTCTTGATTTTCTTTGAACATTTTCCTTGAACATTCTCACCTCAGGGGCTTTGTATATTTTGTTCTTCCCTGTTCCCTCTACCATGCGTGCTTTTTTTAGCTGCATGGTTTGTTTTCTCTCTGCTTACTCAAGTGTCACATCACTATCTCTCAGGGATTCCTTTTTTGATGACTTCACTTACAGTTGGCAGTCCTGTCCCCCAGATATCCTCTTGCCTTCCCTGCTTTGTTTTATCCATAACTCTTAGCACCATCTAACATGCTGATAAACTATGCACTTTGTCTTGTTTGCATATCTCTGTATTAGAATGCAAGCTCCATGAGGGCTGATATTTTTGTCTGTTTTGTCTAGGGCTGAGAAAATGTCTGCTTTATTATTAGTTGTAGATGCTCAATAGATATTTGAATTATTGATTATAATTTTTTAACTTTTATTTTTCTTGAAATATCAATGTTATAACATTGAATATCTAATATTAATTTCCTAATTTAAAAAAACCTCTTTTTAAACTTGGGTGTTTATTGTAATTGAAAGAAAAATCTTTTGTAGGGAAAATCAATATTTAGTTGTATAAGACGTTGTTTTTTGTTGGCACAGCATTATATGTACCTGTTGCGTACAAGGTGTTTAGGCTGCCTAAAAGGACAGTACTCCTTAGGCAGGGTCTAGATGTCGCCTCAGTTTATGCTAGCAGCATTGGAAGGATGTGATAAGTTAAATTTCAGGGCTCAGAGAGAATCAGCGGGAGATACTAAGAATTTCTGGTATGAAGCTGCAGGCAGTTGGTGTTCTGCCCTCATTTAGGCTGCCAGCTTGGGGCCAGCAGTGCTGGACCTGTTGGTGTTCATAGCTCCAGAGAAGACACTATCATTTTTTGGCCAGGTCTGTTTCTGTTATTCATCAGTCAATAAGATCTAGCATTTACATTTTTATGTTTGCTTTGTTAGGTAGCGTTCCTCATCAATAGTATATTGTAAACTCTCTGTGGGGAGGGGGGTTTTGGACATACTTCTATATGCATTTGATTTTGACCTTCATCTCAGATATAGGACATGCAGAATATGAAGTTCTTTAGCTCAGGGGTCCGCAGACTCTTGGATCCAATACCTGGTAAGAGGTGGAGCTGACATAATAATCATAAAGTGCACAGTAAATATATACACTTGCATCATCCCAACCCCCCCTTCCCCATCCGTAGAAAGATTGTCTTCCACAGAATCAGTCGCTAGTGCCAAAAAAGTTGGGGACCGTTGCTTTAACTCATCAACTTACTAATGTGAGAAGCAGCCATCAGGTGGTACTGATAGAGGGAGTTGGAGGCAGAGAGATCTGTGTGGGTTTTGTTTTTTTTTAAGGAAGATACCTGTTTTTTTCCTTAAAGAGGTTGATCTATAAATAATCACAAGCCAAATTATTAAAATGTAAGGCTTATGAATTTACCAGGGTTTTAGGCAATTCAAAGAAAAATGTTTGAGTATTCATTTGTAAGGGGTGATTTGAATGGAGTGTCACGTATTTTCTGTCAAGAATTTCATCTGTCCTAAATGAATTATAGGCCATGTAACTTTTCACTTCAGGTTTCAGAGTTTTGTTATATAGCTTTTAAATGTGTACAGAGGAAGTCTCATGTTCCAGTCGGCCATGGGAAACAGAATTAGGGTGGGGGCGTGAAAACTTGGTTTTGTGGAAGGGTGTGTGTGTGCTCAGTAGTGTCTGACTCTTTGCCATCCCATGGACTGTAGCCTGGACTGTAGCAGGCTCCTCTGGCTGTGGAATTTTCTAGGCAAGAATACTGGAGCGGGTTGCCATTGCCTACTCCAGGGCATCTTCTTGACCCAGGGATCGAACCCATGTGTTTCTTGGCGTCTCCTGCATTGGGGGTTGGATTCTTTACCGCTGGGCCACCTGGGAAGCCCTGGGGAAGGGTATCTATGCTAATTTGATCAATTGAAATTAGTTGCTTGCTTGTTTCTTAAGTACATGAAGGGTACTTTTTATAGAATAATGACAGAAATTGGCAAAACCTCAAGGGCAGTTCCCAAGGAATTGCTGCCCCTCAGTGTTGCCTGATTTTTTGTACAAGTCTATCACTGATTGGTCATACATTCTATTCTGTACTAGTTAATTTGTGCTTTCTTGGGGAAGGTGGAAGTGCTCCTTGAAAACAATTATTTCACAGTTTGAGGCGCATTTTTTTTTTTTTTTGGCATGCACTTGTTTGCAGTTTTAGAATGGTTTAGTGCTGTATATTTTGTAGTTGAGAGAAAAGAAACATTGATTTTGTGTGTATGTGGCAAGGAGATCAAGGAAATTAACAGATGTTTGACAGTAATACTTTGAAAGATTGTTATTGAGAGATTGCTTGGAAATGCAGAAACTAAAAGACAACATTTCTATGTTCTGCAGTGCAGTTTTCCTTTTTCTGTACTTAGACAACATGTGTTAGCTTCTGTGGATATAGTTTGATAAACTTTTCAGTCCTCTAAAGATCAATGCAGAGTATATCACGTGAAATGCTGGACTGGATGAAGCAGAAGCTGGAATCAAGATTGCCAGGAGAAATATCAATAACCTCAGATATGCAGATGACACCACCCTTATGGCAGAAGGCGAAGAGCAACTAAAGAGCCTCTTGATGAAAATGAAAGAGGAGAGTGAAAAAGTTGGTTTAAAACTCAGCATTCAAAAAACGAAGATCATGGCATCTGGTCCCATCACTTCATGGCAAATAGATGGGGAAACAGTGGAAACAGTGACAGACTTTATTTTCTTGGGCTCCAAAATCACTGTAGATGGTGACTGCAGCCAAGAAATTAAAAGACGCTTGCTCCTGGGAAGAAAAGCTGTGACCAACCTAGGCAGCATATTAAAAAGCAGAGACATTACTTTGCCAACAAAGGTCAGTATGGTCAAAACTGTGGTTTTTTCAGTAGTCATGTATGAATGTGAGAGTTCAACTGTAAAGAAAGCTGAGCGCCGAAGAATTGATGCTTTTGAACTGTGGTGTTGGAGAAGACTCTTGAGAGCCCCTTGGACTGCAAGAAGATCCAACTAGTTCCTTGGACTGCAAAGGGCCTAAAGGAAATCAGTCCTGAATATTTATTGGAAGGACTGGTGCTGAAGCTTAGCTCCAGTACTTTGGCCACCTGATGTGAAGAACTGATTCATTGGAAAAAGACCTTGATGTTGGGAAACATTGAAGGCAAGAGGAGAAGGGGACGACAGAGGATGAGATGGTTGGATGGCATCACCAACTCAATAGACATGAGTTTGAGTAGGCTCTGGGAGTTGGTGATGGAGAGGAAGGCCTGGTGTACTGCAGTCCATGGGGTCGCAAAGAGTTGGACATGACTGAGTGACTGAACTGAAAGATCTAAGCAGATAATTTTAGTTTTTGATTAGTGTCAGCATGTAGTTCTCCCTCTTCTTTCTCCATAGGGAATATATGGATCAGAAAGCTGATTTTTGCGTTTCTTTCAGTGGTTACCTTAAAGATTAAAATATGCACTTTTGACTTCTCAAAATGTAATGTTTGTACTTTCTACCTCATTCTTTGACATTGGTGAAATTGTTTTATAATTATTATATTCTCCAGCTTATATTATTGTATATTTCAATTCTGTATTTTTATTCTCTCTATATGTTTATTTACTACTGACAGTTGAAATAGCACAAAATATTTTCTTCCTGTTGTTTAAACTTAACAAGCGGAGGAAAAAAATCCAGTTTTATACTGTCTGTCCTAATTATTATGTATTATTCAAACCATCCAGTGTGGGCTTCCCAAGTGGCTCAGTGGTAAAGAATCCACCTGCTAATGCAGGAGATGCAAGAGATATCAGTTTTATCCCTGGTTCGGGAAGATCCCCTAGAGGAAGAAATGGCAACCCACTCCAGTATTTTTGCCTGGAAAATGTCATGGACAGAGGAGCCTGGAGGGCTACAGGCGTGGGGTCACAAAGAGTTGGACATGATTGAGCGCACACCACCTCCTTTGGCAAACCACTCAGTGTAAAGCCACCAAGCTCTTCTGCACACTTCTCCACAAGTCCCTTAGCTTTAGTTTCTCTTTTTACTTTTGTGTTGGATTTCTCTGTCGACTTTAACTATCTGAAATATACAGGGAATCATGAGACAGAGTGTTTCTTAGCGCCAAATGAGAAAATAGATCTAATGTTTGTTAACATCAGCAAGATATTCCTAATGTATGACGGCCTTATAAGTAACTGACATCTAGGTAGGGAGGAAAGAGATAGATATGGGAAGGATGGCAGTGCTTATTAAAATTGTTATTGGGCCCTC